TGCACATTTCAGCATTTTTTGCATCACTGGAATAATTAGGCTACAATCTCTATATAAATTAATACACATATACATATATATATCTCTCTATATATATAGAGAGAGAAAGAGAGAGAGAGAGAGAGAGAGAGAGAGAGAGAGAGAGAGATTGTAGCTGTATTAGTCCAGTGATGTTGATGTAAAATAACATGAAATTCGGATATTGTAATACCTTTTTTATTGGACTAACAAGCATTTTTTTAGCAAACACGACACATAAAATTCAGTATCACAATTCAACTATAAATTCTATGTGTCGTTTTTGCTCAGAAATGCTTTAGACTTCAGAAAGGGAGGTTCTCCCAAAAGCTTGTCATTCATAAATGCTGTCAGTCCAATAGATATAAGTTCCGCTGTTATTTTACATATATATAATAATCAACAAAGCATTGTGTCAAACCATTAAGTGCAGAAATATATACAATATATATATATATATATATATATATATATATATATATATATGTCCTCAATTATAGATAGATAAATAGAGAGATAGATAGACAGAGAGGTGGATACTGTATATATTTATGAGCTTTGCAGTTTAACACAATGGTTTGATGATTATTATAAAGTTCTGCTATATAATCAGCATCATTGACCTCTTTGTGCTTGAAGAGGTTGTCTGTGGGTGTTTATAATTTTATAACATGACTGGAGGCTTCCTATTTTGCATTAACTCTCTTTACTAAACTCCACAGCAGTAAAGAAAAACGTAAAAAGTAACATTAAATCACTGAGCAGCATAGTATATATAAGGGTCATGCTGCCTGTACACTTCCTCTTTCTTTACTGCTCCACGCAGACAGGTCAGACTATTTGGCTCCTCCAGAGCCTTTTTGCATTATTTTGTATTAGTCTGTTTAGCTTATTTAATTACTTTGCCATTAATTAGGTTCTGTTTATGCCTGTATTTATATTTATATTGCCTTTCTCAGGGCTGTGGGAAGGATTAGCCTTTTTAGTTTCTCCCTCCCTGCCCTGGGACTCCCTGGGCTCCCCTCAGGGTTTCCTACCCTGGGGTGCCCTCCTGGGCCCCCTACTCGCGACCGGAATCAATCGCGATCTTTTTCGCGCCGGCCGGCCTTAAATTTAGTCCCCGGCTTGCGGCCTACACTCGCGGCCGCCATTTTTGATCGCGGATACCGCGAGATTCACGCAGCCATCTTGTTTTTCCGCGTGGATCTCCTTGGGGACTCAGTGCTTGCTGTCTTAGCTGCCTACCACCTGCTTTTGTGCTGGACTGAAGCCCTAGTGTGAATTCCTGCAGCCTATACTCTGTGACTGTGAGTTTCATCACTGTGAGTGACAGGATTACTTACACTGCATGCCTATACTCTGTGACTGTGAATTTCATCACTGCAAGAGACAGGATTATCTACATTGCATGCCTATAACCTGTGGCTGTGAACTTCATCACTGTGAGTGCCAGGATTACCTACACTGATAACCTATACTCTGTGGCTGGGTCAGTCAGGTCAGTGCTGCTGCCTGCTTATTATTGTGACCTGCACTTAAGGGTACCAACCCTGTGCAACCGGGGTGAGCCCCCATTATACGTACTTGTGTACCACGCTGCTTATTGGGAGACTAGCTGTTGCAGTTCTCTCTAACTGGGTGAGCCCCAGTTTTTATAAGGTCACCAACTATACCCTGCTGGGGTTTTTATACTGGGTGGAGTTGTTACCCACCACAAGTGCCACATCAACTGACCCTACGCCTATATATTTAAGACCTGGGTGCCCCATTTATACTGTGCCTATTCGTGATTTATATCAGCCTACCCTTATCATGGAAGATTCCCAGAACGTCCCTGTGGACTTCCAAGCAATGATCAACGCAGCTGTCGCTGCTTCGGTGGAGAAGGCACTCTCCAAGGCACGCACTACAGAGGCGCCCAAGCCTACCCGCAGGCGACCTCGCCAGGACTCAGATTCGGATATGTCCGACTATCGGATCAGGGAGGATTTCCGTCCTAGGAAACGCCATGAGAAAGGCGAAGATCAGGCACTAAAACCACTTAAGGGTAAGGCGCATGCCAAGCGCAAATCTGCCAAAGCTAGTACCCCGACCCCACGTCAGGATTACTCTTCGGACGAAGAGCAAGGGCCTTCCCATTCCATGTCAATGCTAGATGAATGGCAAGCTGACGTCTCTGATTCGGACGACACTTGGGGTTCGGACGAGAAATCTGTCTCTGCTCTCATGCGGGAGACTCTTCTGGGTGCGGCCCAGACAGGGGGTACTGAAGACACTGCGGACGCAGAACACCCTCTTGATTCGGACACCATTTTAGACCCTTCGGGTCAGGCGATGTTTGATCCCCGCAACATCCGCCACCCCAGATCGGGAGACTGGTCACCCCCAGAACACCTCTCCAGGTTCATGCACCTGTGGCTTCGCAAGCCCCTGGAGAAAGAGGTCCGCAACCGGCTCAGATCCGAATGCCCACGCCCTTCCCTGCCAGATAAAGTGGCTCACACTCCCGAGTTTGATAAGGTTATGACAACCTTCATGATGCGCAGTGGGAGACACCCTCGACGAGGGGTAGAGAAAGGCCTATTCGGCACGCAGGATAACCTGCTGGACTCCATTGGCCCTCTGGCCCGTATTATGTACCTGGCAGATGACGCCCTTGCCAGAGCCGATTCCTTCTCTGCCGAAGACATCAGGGAATGGGCACACGACGTGCGCGAATGGGCACAACGGTGTTTTTGTTTCATTGGAAACACTAATGTTACGCTCTCTTCTGAGAGACGGAAAGCAGCGTTATACCGTATTAACGGTAAATTGGCAGAGCTTGGCACTAAAGAGATTGGGCCCCAGGCACAAGGGAAATTGTTTGGTGAACCGTTCCTCAAGGAACTTAACAAACACGTGAACGTGTTCACTTCACTTAATAAGGCGCAGTCCTCTATGCGCAGAGTCTTCCGGAGCACTACCACCAGAGGAGTTTTTGGAAGGGCTGGCCGGCAACGGGGCCGTGCCGCCAGCCGATTCTGGCCTTCAGGCCCCCGCACTCAACCGACACCTTTCTACCCAACACGAGAGTACAGGCAACAACCTTTCTCCCGAGGCTCGGACAGAGGCCGGGGACCACGCGGACGCGGACATTCCCGCTTTGCTACAGGTAAGCACCCGTATTCCTCCATTGTTACCTTGCACCCGCCCCGCGGGACGTATTTCCCATTCTTTCCAGAATTGGGCGCTCTGTCCTCAGACAAGTGGATCCTACAAATGGTACAGGGATATGTCATAGACCTAGTAGGGACTCCCCTCCAGACACAACCTCCTCACCCCATCCACATGTCATCTTACGACCAATACCTCGTCAACGCGGAACTACGCGAACTTCGGGACAAAGGGGCTATCCAGCCGACCTACGACGGGGGAGGTTATTTCAGCAATATTTTCCTGGTTAGGAAGAAGACGGGAGAATACCGTCCAGTCATCAACCTACGCGGCCTCAACGCGTATGTGGCGTACCGCCACTTCAAGATGGAGGGCATCCACCTCCTGCGGGACCTCCTACAAAGCAACGACTGGTTCACCAGACTAGATCTAAAAGATGCATACCTGTCGGTCTCAGTGCATCCGGACTGCCGAACCCTCCTACGTTTCCTCTGGCACGGCCGTCCTTGGCAATTCACCTGCCTCCCTTTCGGGCTCAGCTCGGCTCACCAAACTTCTGAAACCGGTGGTGGCCCACCTGAGATCCAGGGGCGTCCGATGCATCATCTACCTGGACGACCTGCTTCTCTTTTGCTCCAACGAGCGCAGACTGCACCAACACACTCATCTCGCAGTAACACTACTGGAATCTCTGGGCTTCGTGGTGAACCGCCAGAAATCGGAATTGATCCCATCCCAGACAATACAATTCCTGGGCTTCGAGATCGACTCGACTACATGCACTCTAAAGCTTCCAGCCTCGAAGATCTCGTCTATTCGCAAGGAGATTCGCAGAGCACTCCGTCGCGACTCCATCCCTCTCCGCAACCTGGCCAGGATCGTGGGACTCCTCTCCGCCTCCATTCAGGCCATATTCCCGGGTCCCCTCCACTACAGAGCCATGCAACACCTCAAGGCGAGGTACCTACGCCACAGGCCCACATACGATCAAATCGTCCCGGTGACGACGGAAGTTCGCGAGGAACTATCATGGTGGCTGGACAGCATGCAAGCCTGGAACGGCAGGGCCATATTCGGAGACACCCCAGACTTCGTACTGGAGTCAGACGCCAGCTTGTGGGGCTGGGGCGCCACCAACGGGTCCATATCCACAGGAGGAACATGGACAGCTCAGGAACTCTCCATGCACATAAACTGCCTGGAACTCCTGGCATGGTCCTTCGCGATCCGCAGCCTGGCCCGAGACAGATCCAACTGCTGCATCCTCCTACGCATGGACAATGTCTCCGCAGTCCGGTATATCAATCGCCTGGGGGGCGCACATTCACGTCTACTGTCAGACATCACAAAGGACATTTTCGACTATTGCCTACCCCGCAACATCGCTCTCCAGGCCGAATACCTGCCCGGGGAAATCAACCTCACGGCCGACTGGTTCTCTCGCCACTGGAGGGACGTCAGCGATTGGAGACTGAACACGAGGATCTTCAGAGCCCTGGCAACCCGGAGGGGTCCCTTTCACCTGGATCTCTTCGCGTCCCGCAACAACCATCAAACCCCGGAGTTCTTCAGCTGGCTCCCGGACCCGGAGAGCAAGGCGACGGACGCTTTTCTACAACAATGGCCAACGACCGGAGCCTATGCATTTCCCCCATTTGCCATGATCGCGAGAACATTACACCAGATGCGGACGCAACAGGTCACTCTGGTCCTCATAACACCCTTGTGGCAGAGCCAACCATGGTTTCTGGACCTCCTGGCCACCTCCTGCAGGGATCCTCTCCTCCTTCCATCCTTTCCGGAGCTGCTCACGGATCCCAAAGGGAATCTCCACCCGCTTCTCTTGGAAGATCGACTACCCCTGGTGGCTTGGACTCTTTCCGGGGTTCCTGGCAAGTCAGCGGACTATCGCAGGCTACTAGGGACCTCTTATGGGATTCCTGGGCCCCCGGAACTAGACGCTGCTACCTTTCAGCTTGGACCTCCTGGTCTACTTGGTGCATGGAACGGGACGCCGATCCATTTACAGCACCTATTCCCATGATTCTCAATTTCCTTTCATCCTTGTTTTCGTCGGGCCGCTCCTATCGGTCTGTTAACGTTTTTCGCTCCGCGATTTCGGCGGCCCATACCCCCGTAGGGGACCTCCCGGTCGGCAAAGACCCTCTCGTCTGCCGCCTGCTCCGTGGTATGCGGCTCCGCCGCCCCCCAGCTCCCAGGTACTCCCACCTATGGGATGTTGGGCTGGTCCTCCGTTTTTTCAGGGATTGGCTCCCTAATGACCGCCTCTCCCTACGCCAATTGTCGGCTAAGTGCGCTTTTCTGCTCTGTCTCGTGTCCTTTCGACGGGTATCAGACGTTCGAGCCTTCGACGTTGACGCCTTCGAGATTGCCCCGGAGGGGGTCACTTTCCACGTTTCCCGTCGCACTAAGTCGGGTTCGACCTCGGTATTCTACCCTTTTTTCCCAGACGATCCGCAACTCTGCGTCGTGTCCACCCTGCGCAGATACGTTTCGGCTACCTCCTCGCTCCGGAACTCGGCGTCGGGCCAACTCCTAGTCTCCTATGTTCGCCCCCACGCGCCGGTCTCGGTCACCACACTGGCCCGGTGGATTTGATGGATCCTCTCCCTCGCCGGTATAGACCCTACTTTCGGCGCCCACTCCGTTCGAGGGGGGGCGGCTTCCTCAGCCTTCCTAGCGGGGGCGTCACTGTCAGACATCCTCCGAGCGGCGGATTGGTCTCGGGAATCCACTTTCCGTACCTTTTATTTTCGCACTCCCCCTTCTGCTGGGACATCTCTCCTTCAGCGTTAAAATTGCAAAATAGGAAGCCTCCTGTCATGTTATAAAATTGAAGATTATGCTAGCTTTAGTGTACTAATAATCTTAATTTTAATAAGGACAGGAGGCGAGTATTTTCCCTCCCTTTTGTTCCGTAGCCTGACTCCTCGGGGGAGTGGATCTCAAGGTGACGGACCTTTTTCTTTTGGCTTGTCAGTGCTTGCTACTTTCCATATCCCGTCTCTCATCCCAGATCTAGGCCTTAGTCAACCAGGTTACGTTGCACCACATGTTACACATAACACGTATTACCTTCCATTACACTCACTCCTGTGTATATCATCACTTAGGTTGACACACTCTGATATGGCTCTCATGTGTGACCAGTTACGGTTCAGTACCTAACCTATTTCATACTCTTCTTTCAGTGTAATCCTCTTCAGGACCTCCACTGGTTGTTGGTTTGGTTACCCTCACGACTCCGCCTACGAGGATAAAGGCTTCGTTTCGTCTTCTCCCGACCTCGTTTACCAGGAGTCTCATCAAGTTCTGCTCACCAGAGACCGTTGTTGATTGTTTCGTTGGTTCTATCGTTTCGAGATCAGTCTGGACTTGGATGTCGCTTCAAGAAAGAGGAAGTGTACAGGCAGCATGACCCTTATATATACTATGCTGCTCAGTGATTTAATGTTACTTTTTACGTTTTTCTTTACTGCTGTGGAGTTTAGTAAAGAGAGTTAATGCAAAATACTCGCCTCCTGTCCTTATTAAAATTAAGATTATTAGTACACTAAAGGTAGCATAATCTTCAATTGTTGTTCAAGAAGCACAGTCTGTTTACACAGGCTTACAGATAAATGTCGAGTAAAATGAAAACGTTGGAATAAAAACAATGCAATTGCATTGTTCTGTATATTACAGCATTCATAACCAATGCTGACAGGACCTGCCCAAGACATTGTGCTGCCTGGATCCAAGTATGAAATGCTGCCCCCCCCCCAAAAAAAACCCAAAACAACATATATGCTTCTGCAATGGTAGTGTCTCTATGTGGGTGTGATGGGGATGAAGTGTGTGTCTGTGTGTGTGTGCTGGGAATGTAGTGTGTCTATGTGTGTGCTGGGGATGTAGTGTCTGTGTGTGTGCTGGGGGTGTAGTATGTATCTGTGTGTGCTGGGGATGTAGTGTGTGTCTGTGTGAATGCTGGGAATGTAGCTTGTGTCTGTGTGTGCACTGCAGCCAAAACACTTACCTATACACTGTGTCTGTGTATATGCATGTGTGTCAGTGTTTGTATCTGTATCTGTATGTGTGTCAGTGATTGTATCAGTTAGTCTATGTATCTGTATGTGTGGCAGTGTTTGTGTGTCTGTATATCTTCATGTGTATCAGTGTGTCTGTGCAACTGGATGTATGTCAGTATATGTATCAAAAACTGAATGACATGCAGATACTGACGTACAGACACACTGATACGCCTGCAGATACACAGACATACAGACATACACACAGACACTGACACATACAGATACACACATGCAGATACACAGACATACAGATACACACACTACACACAGATACATATTACACACATACAGAATACACAAACTACACACTACACACATACAGACACACACATACAAACACACACTAGAAAACATTACACACATACAAACACACAGATACCCACACTACATACAGATACACACACTACACAGATACAAACACACACTACACATACACAGATACACACACATTACACTCATACAAAGAAATACACACATACAAACAAAGATTCACACACTACACACATTCAAATACTGATACCCACACTACATACAGATATACACACTACACATACACACATGCACACAAACACACATTAAAATAAATTTAGCCACCCAGCAGGTTCTTACCTTCTGCTGGCTGTGCCTGGTGGGAGCTGGGGGCCTGCTCTCCCTATCCGGCCCCATCTTCCTCTTCTTCCTCCCACGCGGCTGTGTGAGTGAGCTGGGAGGAAGTGGTACGCTGTTAAAGCGCCACAGTGCAAGACCGGGCCCCTCATTGCGCATGTCCATTGGGTGGCCCTAAGGGACCACCGCCCGCTGCCAAGGGTTGGGAAATCCTGTTTTAGATGGATGGGCCGGCTCTGAATGCTGATGAAAATGGCATTTTTAGTAATAAACCCTACAGTGAAGCTTTTTTTTAAATGTAATGCACTTTTTTATATATTCAAAATCTGTATATACCCACTTGAGAATGATGCATTATTTAAACAATTATATATTGTAATTGGACTACAATGTCATCCATTTAATTCCAGTTGAGACACTACAAAAGATCTGGACAGTGAAGGCAGTAGTAGTTCCAGTTGTGATAGGAGCACTCAGGGCTGTGACTTCCAAGTTGGGGGAGAGGTTTCAGCAGATCCCAGGTGGGACATCTGAGATCGCTGTCCAGAATAGTGAAGTTCTAGGAAAAGCCACTGCTGCCCACTCACTCACTCACTCACTCTCCCATCTTCTGGTCTCTGAGATTGGAGTTAATTAATATTAGGGGTCCCTTGTTCTGTGGGCTCTGGTATATTAGCAACATTGGGTTAAAGGGGCTACCTATTGCTGGAATGTGTGTGTGGAACTATGGCTTTCTGGCTGTGGAGATCTCTGATCAAACCAGCCAGAGCATGGCTGTTCAGTGGAGCTCCATCCCTCCCGCCCGATTGCCTCAGACCCATGGTCCATGGTGATGTACCCGTGTGGTCAGTCCACCCCTACAGGCACCTCCCCAACAAGAGTAAGAAGATCTCTGCATTGAGCTAAGTGTGGCAGTGCAGGGTTTAGCTCATTGGCTGAGAGGAATCAGGAGAGCTAACAGAAACTCCTAGAATGAGCTTCCGGCTCTCAATGGAGAAAGAGACCACTGCCAACCCAGTTATCAAACCTAAGTTTGACTACTTACATGGGGGAGGGGTTTCCCAGGGCACTCTTGGCACCATAACCTCTACAGAGTGTTGTAATGCTTACAGAAGTTTAGATACACCTAAAAGCTGCTCTTGAATGCCCTGGGGCCATCTCATACTAAATTCCTTTTAGTCACCTTTAAAAGCATAAATTCAATTGAAACGAGTGTCATTGAAACTTGCTGTGTTCTCTCAAAATCAAAACATTGAAAGGTACTCAGTGTTATTCACTACACCACAAGTTATTGGGAATTCACCAGAGAATTATACATTTTAACCAAAAACACTCATTTTAGAAAAACCTCAAAACTCAACTCTTCTGGCAATAAATGTTGAATTTCCTTGCTCATTCCCAACAAATCATGGACATTAATTCCATTTAATAAACTATTTAGTGACGAATAAATGTAACTTACTAAATTGTGTACACATAGTTCTAACAAATACATAGAAAGTATCCTATCTGATTGTTAAAAGCATTGTTATATTAGAAAACAAAGAAAATGTGAAATGATTTTTCTCACATCAATATAGAGTAGTACCACTCACGTCTATCTCAATGCCCCCTGGGTATTCATGTATCAAAGGTCGCAACCCTCTAGTTCTAAGTTCTAAATCAATACAATCATTAAAGAGTGAACATTGAACTTCTCTTTGAAGCAGACATGTGATTCCCAAATGTTTAGAAGTTCAAACTGAATATAAAGTTTTGCGATTAATTTATTTGGAAGTAAACTAGAATTAAAGGTTTTGTTTATTTGACAAGTACACAAGTCTCCTTACCGTGAATGAAGAAAAGCTTAAGAAATAGACACCTTTGTTCCTGTGGGATTCAAATCGGATTAAATAACTCTTCAAGCTAAAAATAAATAAAATAGCAGATGCATTAGTGTTCTTACAATGCAATCTGATCTCTAAATAAAGAATTGTATTAAGAAGACATTCTTCTGGTAAAAGATACAAGATGTTTTCTTGAGAACAACTCTTTGGGGAATGTTGGTGGTGTAATGACTTTGGTTAGCTATGAATGTTTTGTTATTACATGAATTATCAGTTACTGGAATTATAAACCTGTCCTTCGGCAAAAATGTAACTCTTTGAGAGAGACGTATTGCACGTAAATGTTTATACACTGCTTTATGTGAACCATGAAGTTTTAGAATCAATTCAAAAGAGAAAATTCACCAGGAGCATCGGGGTCAAACATCTGCAAATACTCCGGTTCTCTAGCGCTCCAGTGAAAGTTAATTTAAAAAGCTCCTGAGAAACACGTCTTCAAATGGTTTGTAACTAGAGAAATACCACAGCGCTCAAGGACAAAAGTTGATATCATATTGAAGAAATAAAATATGGTATTGCTTTGCGTCCCAAAATTGGAAAAAAGATCTTCTACTGCTGAATCACAGAAATGATTTTAACATCGTATGTAGTTTTTTGAAGATTTTGTTAGTTTGATAATAATGGAAACGCTATCCAGTAGCAAACTTGTTTCTACCATTAATGTATGGGAAACAAAATTAAAAAAATTACACTGTTGAAATCTTTTTTTTTTTTTTTTGTATTTTTTATTAAGTTGAAATCAAAGTATACAATTATGCAATGCATTTAGATAGAGACATACATAGTAACAGTGGTATCACATTGGGGGCCTGTGGTGAAGATATGGTTTAGTGGTTTCGTGGAAGCAGCTGCAATACCTCCACACTGTTTAAATCTTAAAGGAGCACTATATAACACAAACATGTATTCCTGACCCAATTGTGTTAAAACCACTATCTAGCCCCCTTGGCCTCCCTAAATATAGTAAAATCTTACTTGTATTCAAGTCTGAAGCTGCTGCCTCTGCCTGTGAACTTCCTTCGACCTCTGACATCATCAGAAGTGGTGGCCTGATCCAATCACAATGCTTCCCCATAGGATTGGCTGAAACTGACAAGGAGATCAGGGGCAGAGCCAGCACAATTCAAACACAGCCCTGGCCAATCAGCATCTCAATGAATCTCTATGAGGAAAGTTCAGTGTCTGTATGCAGAGGGAGAAGATACTGAATGTTTGGATGCATTTTAGGCAGCCATGACCCAGGAAGGATCTCTAACAGCTATCTGAGGAGTGGCCAGTGAAGTTATCACTAGGCTGTAATGTAAACACTGCATTTTCTCTGAAAAGACAGTGTTTACAGCAAAAAACCTGAAGGTAATGATTCTACTCACCAGAACAAATTCAATAAGCTGTAGTTGTTCTGGTCACTATAGTGTCCCTTTAAGATGTCAAGAGTAGATTGCAGGATAAAACTAACCAGGAAAAGTTGAAGGATCTTAACATGTATTGCTTGGAGGAAAGACGAGACAGGGGGGGATATGATAGAAACATTTAAGTACATAAAGGGAATCAACACAGTAAAGGAGGAGACTATATTTAAAAGATGAAAAACTACCATAACAAGAAAACATAGTCTTAAATTAGAGGGACAAAGGTTTAAAAATTATTTCAGGAAGTATTACTTTACTGAGAGGGTAGTGGACGCATGGAATAGCCTTCCAGCTGAAGTGGTAGAGGTTTACACAGCGAGGGAGGTTAAGCATGCGTGGGATAGGCATAAGGCTATCCTAGCTATAAGATAAGGCCAGGGACTAATGAATGGATTTAGAAATATTGGGCGGACTAGATGTACTGACACAATGTTTACTAAATGTGTCATGTATCCCACTATTGTAACAATATCCGTCAATATATCATCCTGAGAATAGTGATTATATATATATTGAGGAAACCAAACCAACATTAATCAATAGAAATATAATAACGTTGTCTAGAACAGTGGTCCCCAACTCAGTCTTCATTGACCACCAACAGTCCAGGATTTATGTATTTCCCTTTTTTATTCAAATGGAAAATGGACAAAACCTGGACTTCTGATAGTCTATGAGGACTAGGTTGGGGGCCACTGGTCTAGAATGTGGATAAGCTTGTTCTTGGATAGTTTTAGCTCTTTCCTACTTCCCTTCCATTGGTCTTCTCCGACTAAACACATCTCTGCATAGATAGGAATTATAAATGCCCCTTGCCCCCATAGACTGATTAGAAGCCTATGCAGTCAAGTCACTGCCAATTTACAAAACTACATTTTTAGGTGACCAGATCAAGCAATTTATACACAAAGCTATTGATTTTTTGGGGGGGTGGTGTCCAAGAACACAAATATTTGTTTTTTAAGTTCTTTATTTATATAAAGTATTTTTTAATACAAGAATGCAGATATACTGGATGATATGTTGTGAACATTTTCAAAGAGAACCTATACTGGCTGGTGATTACAATTATACATGTCCAGAGGATTGCATATAGATGTCAATGGTGTTACAAAGTAG